GGGGGGGACCACGACACATCGACATCTGGGGGGCTGATAGTCTCATACACCCTCAATGTGTATGAGCGTACTATGTGTCTTTAAGCGCTACACAACCAGTACCCAGGGCACATCGTTGTCGGGGAATCCCCATCAGGAGGGGTCGTGTTTGAGGGGGATTGTGCCGACCCTCAAAAAAAGGGGGGGGAGGGGTCGGATGGACTGGACCAACCAAAACCTCAACCAATGCTGTGCCCTGGCCAATACACAGGTACGACAGACATGATCACAAGAGGGGAGAGATGGCATGGGAGTAGCCCAGCCGGGCGTATTCGTATAGGTTCCTTTTACCCTCCTATATATGGACAGTACATAAACGCACTGCTGTACTTCTAAACAGCCGCAGATGGAAATTGAATGTGTGACGTTTTCGAAGATAAGAAGAAAACAAACCAAAAATAAAACAAAAACCAAACAAAGACAAAAATTTGGGGAACATGTGGGAGGAATCGTCCGACATCGCCTCTCTCACCTCGTTGCTGTACCGTGTTTTACAGTACACGATGTTTTTTAGGTACGCTGTAGCTGTGCAAAAAGTACAGGGAGGGGGAGCCAAAAAAGTCACTTTCCTTCATTGACTTTCGAGGCGCTATAAGTTACACTTTATTAAATTCTGATCGGACATTTCTGAGCGCCATCGAGAGATTCTGGCACGCGACCGCGATGTGGTGCCTGAGATCAGCGAGATAGTCGATTTCTCCGCCACCGTAGACCACCCTATTGAACTCCGCCCGAACCGGGTAATTGAGGGGATTCAGGTCAGGTGACCTACTTGGATATTCCACCTTCTTCAGGTACTCAACGCCCTTCCATTCAAGTAGGCAAGAGTTTTTCCAACGCCCTTCGATTTCCATGTGGTGGCACCCAATGCTGTAGCAGTACAAAGTTTCCAAGAAGGTACGGGCGACGACATGTGAGGAGGATATTCTTCACGAGTTGCTCGATGTAACCGCCAGCGCCACCTCCTTCTTCCGCGGGTCCACGAAGAAATATGGTCTTCCATTTCCAGGTACGTCCGGTCCATACCATCAACCCGCGCCTTGGCGACTGTGGTGAGATGATGTCCTAGACCGTGGCGACGTTGTCGGAGCTGCTCGATGTTGGAGGTCTTCCAGATCGAGAGTACTGGTCTCCAGGTAGCTACCCATGGGTGACTCCACACTAGAAGTTTCGCAGCTGTTTGGAGGTGACATGAATTCCAAAGGTCTTCTCCAGTCAGGCTGCGACTGGAGATGACTTCATATTTTGGTGTACATGAAGGTGATGGGCGAGAGCCAGCTCCTGCTTATAGAGGAACATCTTGGGTATCTTCCGCCCTGGTACTCGTATCCACGTCCTCTGTCTGGGCAGCGAAAACTTTGCTGATATGTGACTCGGTCAAAATGACTTTTTTGGCTCCCCCTGTAGATGACCGCAACGTTGAGCGACGTGCGTTGAATTTTCGCATAATTGCGGCGCAACCTTAAACATATTCTTCGGTCGTCCTCTTGAAGTGCTCAATAGAAAAGGAATCGAATTCTTTTATGTAATCAACAAACAAATTGCTATATACCAGCAGCCTTAATTTTTAAAGTCATCCACAGAGCTCAAATGAAGTTTACAAATTCAGAGAGATAAAACGATTACAACGGAGATATTCTACTTTGCGCACAGGGTACAGAATTGTTGGGAGAATCCCACGAAGGTGGGGTTGGTCGCCTCAAGTCATTGGAGGTCGTATCTGGTCTTGGCAGTAATGTTCCCGAGTCGCGAGAAGAATTGCTTTTTATCGTCATTGAGTTCTCGCAGTCTCGTCATTGACTTCGACTTTTCTCACTTCATATCCACTGTATACAGCCCTCTCCTCCTGCTCGCAGTTTTCAGAAAAAAAAAACTGCGAGTTCGTTGGAAAGCTGGAAAAATATGGTATGTAAAGAAACGCTTCAGAAGACGCTAGGAGGATTAGGCGTGGGGGATGTCGCACCGGAGAAAAAAAACTGTTGGTCCTCCGACACCGCCATTTCACCCATCCCGATGGTGTATCCTGTTTCGGAGGTATACGTGTGTTCTTGCCCAACATATATATTGTATGGGTGCAAAAATAGAGGTGACCGACTTGAGCGACCGGCGCGGCTTAACTGTCGCACAATGCGACATTGTCGGGCAACAGCGAAGTGAGCGTTCCATGAATACTACAAATCAGAGACATGGAATCGGGATCAAAAGAGTAGATACCAGCTTAAAATTCGATGAGAATATAATCACTACCTTGGATGACTCAGTTATTATGATATATCCCTGAATGATCTTCACATACAATCCACACGTGAGACAGGGCGCTGTTTGGCTTTGGAGGAGGGCATTCAGCACTTTTTCGAGATCCTTTCGTTAGTTCATGTTATATAACAGGAAGTTCACTGCGGTGATGCGAAAGCGTGCGAAGGGAGAGTACTTGCTGGCAGGAATTCACATGACTTCACAGGATGTACGATTAGCGGACTACCATTCGGTACCCCCACCAAGCTGAACTTCGCCAAATGGCACTATTTACCGCTCCTGACTGCCCCCACATGATTCCCTTTTTCCGTTTGAAGTTTGCCAAAAAAATATTGAAGGGGGGAAGCACTCCATTCCCTCTCAGGCATGGCAGCCATCTCACTTGTTCGGCCCAGCGCTCAGAGCCTTCGCAAACTCCTCGGTCGTTAATTACACGCATCCGCTGGTTTGAGGTATTTTCGGGGCTGACATTAATTCTTTTGTGCGCGATTAGGTTCAAGAGCGTCCAACTGCACCCAAGGAGCGGAACTTCCCGCTCGTAAAGTTAGCCTAGTGAAAGTGTACTTGGTAAAAGTTGCTGCCGAAAATATTTGATCAGATACAGACAAGCGCTCCTGCTCATTTCTCAAAGTGCTCCAAATCCCCTTTTTCCTGTGATGCTAATTCACGGCATATTAGGGCAGGAGCAGTTCGGTTAGGGGGCATCAAATGGTGCTCAGCGAAGGTCATACAGGTCACCTTGTTGGGACTTGCTAAGTTCTGCCAGAGAGACTGCAACTGCAGAGGAGCTTTCTGCTGCCATTTTCCAGCTTCACACGAGTTTACAGGCTCTCGATAATCGAAGCCTATTTACTTTATTCGGTAATCAAATAGACTAGCGAAAGTGCGAAATGTCCCTCCCAAGCCGAACAGCGCCAACAAGCATTGTAGTGCTCCAGTATTACAAGGAGATGTACAGCCAGCGCGAAAGGGAATCTAGCAACGCTCCCTTGTACGACACACCCTCAGGCCATGCAGGCAGGTGGAAAATTGAACGCACAAGTTTCCCCATGCGAGAATGTAGCAATTAGCGTTACACGCGACGTCAATAGTAGGTCGAGTGCGCTCTTCCAGCTTCTTTCCTCTCTCTCATCTAGATACAAGGATATCTCGCCGTTTCGCGCCGCCTCCGCCAAAGCAGTTTTGAAGCAGTACGCGAATGTTCACACCAAGTGCGAGCGACCGTCGTCTGCTTGGTGACCTCGTGCTACAAGCTTATTTTCCCTGAATACATCCTATTCGCTTAGAGCCTGGCTCTAGACCGATTTTTCTGCAAAATTTTGTCCCATAGCTCCATGCGTCTCTTCTGATAGTCATCAGCCATCACAGGTGTCGGTAATTGGATATGTAAATGACGATATGGTTGTGTAGGATCGTAAAGCTCCCATAGTGATCCGTTTTCAGAGGAAGATTGATCACCGTTAGGATTCCTGCAACGAATAAATGGAGTTTCCCAATGGTTCCCAACTGGGAAATCAGAACAATTATAAGGCTTACCCGTATTTGGCAAAATTAGTGAAGTATGCGGTCATGATATCGAGCATTTTCAGATCTTCGTGATTCGGCTTGAACTTTGAGAATATCCCCTTTCCAAGAACATATCGCAGTTCAGAGCAGTGAGTAGAACCTTAACGAGAGTTGTTTCAGTTCTCTTTACGAACGATCTCTCAACAAACGATCTTCTACCAGGAAAGGAAACTCACCTTTATATGGCAACATAAACCTCAAAAAGCCGAATCCGTCCGGGTTGAAATAGTCGAAACAGTAAAAATACACGTTATTACCGCATTCGGACATTTTCCTAGCATACTGTAGCACTCCAACGTTGATTGCGTAATCACCCATCAACTAAATGCAACGGTTAGGCACAAGGCACAATAATTTGATACTTGGGCAAACGATGGAGCATGTCAGTGAGGCTGGGTTTGGGGCAGGCCCTTCTCCACTAGTAGTCAGAGCGACGACAACTGGTGGAAAACGACCGATACAGAAGATACGATACAATTTTGTCAACTGCCTAACGAAAAGGAGAAAAAGGTTGGCGCCACGCCAACCCCTCCCACGCACCATCATCC